TTTTATGATATATGTATGTAACATAAAAAATATCAACAAAAAGAGATTGAACAAATACAATTAAAACTATATATCAATATTTGCTTTCCTTTCTCATCACTAAAATTGAATTCGTTTTTATGGCACAAATCCTTGCCTGTTCATCCTGAAACGATCGAATGATACCAATCCTCGTAGGTCATCATTATTTGATTTTCCTGAAACAGATGGAAAAGATGGAGACAATAATTAAGGGACCATTCCACTTAAAAATGAGAAATTCTAAAATAAACAAAGAAATACAATTAAATATTACACAACAACATCACAAAACTATCAACAAAAAAAGAAAGCACAGCTACAATTAAATATCCAACATCAATTGATATCTGTGAAACAGATGAAAATGATTCTCCTTTGTGGGAACCACTAATTTTACAAAACTGTTGCTGAACAAATATTAACAAATAGAATATTTGTTTTCTTTTCTCATCTCTACATTATGGTACCAATCCTCACACACACACACACACACACACATATATATATATATATAAGAGAATGTAAAGGCATTTGCATTTAATTGATAAAGATTTAATTACATCCTCAGATGCCCATCTTTCTAATATCAATATGTGTGTTATTAATATCAAACACAAAAAAAAGATTTAAAATGTTTGCATTTAATTGAGAAGGACTTCATTAGACCTTTCAGATACATGTATCTATACATCTCCATATTTGAATGAACAAAATTTTAAGTAAACCTTTGACATGCCCAATAAAATATAATCACTATTTAATATTATATTGTTATTAATGTGTCATTAATACTTACAAATATCAAACACTAATTACATTACATCACATATAACAAAAAATCATACACATCAAAATAGCTCACATCATCACCAATCTCATGCAGCCAAATGTAAAAATATCATATCATCACCAATCACATGCAGCCACATGTCGAACAATCTACCAACAGGGGTGGATCCAGTCTAGTCATGGCCCACCCTCAAATTTTTTTTAAAAATACTAATATGTATAATTTCTAGATTTTGACCCACCCTAATAGAAATTTCTGGATCCGCTACTGTCTACCAACATGTCAAAAGGAAGCAATTCTAGAGCTTAAAAAATCCTACATAGCAATCAAATAGGGTATGTCTTAGGATTATATAAATATATAGATATGCAAATATTGTAAATTTTTATTTTCAAGCAAAATTGAATTTTTATTTAAGTCAACGTCATCATTAAGAGATAATTATAGTTAAATGTAATGGAACGGTATGGAAAATGATAGAGTTACCAAAAGTTACACACCGAATTTGTGCACCAAATGACATAACAAAATCCTGACCGTTGATTAATATTAACTTATAATGAATCAACAGTCAGGATTTTGTCACGTCATTCGATGCACACGCTTCGATAACTGTAGCATTACTCGAATGGTATTCCAATATTAGATGTTTTTTCTCTTAAACTTTCTTCTTTTTTCTTTCAATTTTTTTTTTTTAAAGTTTCATGAAATAATTATTCCTCTCATTAATATAAATACACTACCTTTCTCCAAAAATACAAACCTAAATATATATTGATTGTCCTCTTAAGAAAAACCTATATTACATAATTTTTGTTTTAAGGCTTTCCAAGAAGAAGGAATTAAATTAAGAAGATCCTAAAATGTACGAATTGTATCTTAATATCTTGTATGTTACAAGAACTTGGAGTGACTATAATTCCTTCTTAATTGTATTGTTTCTGAGAATTGTAAATTTAACTTTCAATATTTTTTTATTAGCGTCTTAAATTGGAGTTGTACAACGGAAGCGTGCCGTGTCCGATGTGTCATATTAGTAGTTATGTTACATGGGTCATCGAAAGAATAGTGACAAACGTCGGCTTGATGAATGCCACATACATTGCCAATGTGCAAGCTCCCTCAGGGTTAGAGGTGAATGTGTATCTAGAGAGGATTGAGTTTGTTGAGAATGTAAAAAGGGTTTCTTTCAATGTTTCATTCAACAACAAGGAGGCTAATAGTGGGTACAATTTTGGATCAATAACTGAAATAATAGAGAGTAATATGAAACCAAAAAACAATATACCCAAACCACAAACAATAAAGAGAAAGAAGAAATACGTAAGATTTACCCTAGTTCACTCAATTAACAGGCTACGTCCAACAGAATCAGTATTATTACAATACTGCATTACCTCTCTCATTTACAATGAATGTAATTGGCCCCGTGATTTGTTATCATACACATGCAAGAGAAAAGTATGTTTATATACTAGGTTTAAAAGACCAAAACCTAATATTATAAGGATTTTTATTCCTAAGCTCAAACTCAAAAATGAATTAATAACTTAAATAAATATCCTTTAACGGCTCTTTAGGGAGACCCTGAATGTGTCTGCGTGACCCATTATCAATGAAGTGGTCGACAACTTCGACAATAACATGGTGGGATGTTAGTTAAGACAACTATGTTCGGATGGTGTTTGTAGTGAATATTGAATAAGTTGATGAATTAATTGTTAGAAGAGAATAAAGAAGTGATTTAATGGCATGAAAATTTGAGCTATGTTTGACGAAAATTTTCTTGGTGTTTATGTATTTTGCAATAATGATCATTCCATTCATCATGTTGATGGGAATGTTTCTTTTCCATGTGAAAAACTTTGGAAACTTGTGTAATCGTGGTTTTGATGATATTAGTTATGTTAGAACTATGTTTGTACATTATTAGAATCTTTTCATTGCACTCAAACAATATTTTACAATTTAGATCCAATGGTATATATGCATATAGTCCTAACAAAATATTAGGATATTCTAACTAGAGAATATATGAATTATTATTGCTATTATTTTATATACACTTGAATAGTTGTATATGTGTGTGTGCATATGATTACAGTAAATTTATAGGCATGTTTCTTAAATTTAATATATGAATTTTCTGTTTAGAGGATTTATGAGGATTTGTAGTTTGGATGATATTTGATGTTTGTTGTTCAAGATTCAATCTCATAACATTGATAATCCAATTCATAGTAAATATAAGACTCAACTAATTAGGGGGTGTTTGTCTTGACTAGCTTATAAGCTTTAAAATTTGACATGTTTGTTTATAACTTTTTTGAGCTTATAAGCCAAAAAAAAAAAAAAAATTAAGTTGGGGGAGAGGTACTTTTTATTTTTGGCTTATAAGCACTCTGCTTATAAGCTAGTTTGACCAAGTATATTACCACATTATCCTTGTTTAATTTTAAAATTCTATAATATACCTTTATTTAATGTAATATCCTTTTTAGTCATTTTATAATAAAATGTACTTATAAGCCACATTTTACCAAACATGTCAACTACTTATTAGTCACTTATAAGTACTTTAACCAAATACGTAATTGCCTAAAATTTCAAATGCTTATAAACTAAAATTAGATTATAAGCACTCATTGCTTATAAGCCACTTTTCATAATAAGCAATATATATTATAAAGCATACAAGTTTCACAGTCTAAAATATAAGGTAAGTCAAAATAGAAAAAGAAAACTATATATATATTAGAGCCTTGGAGGTTGATACTTTAGAGGATCATCAGCTAGATACTAATGCAGATTTTGTATTAATCATAGAGTTTGAATGATCTTTGTTTGGCATATAAAAAAGTCTTTATGTTGTTTTCGAAATTTTGAACATTTTTTATTTGACTTATCTACTTATAGAAAGAGCTTATTTAAAGTGAAAACCATTTGTTTTAGGTCGTTTGGTTGCATCTTAAAAATGTTTATAAAATTATAAATAAGTTACTTTATGACTTATGTAAGAAGCTCAAAGCTCTTTTTAAATTTATATAAAAATGTTGAAATTTCAAAAATATTTTTATTATATTTTATAAATTTAACTTGATATATTTTTTAATATTAATTCTAAAAAGCATTTTTATGTTTTCTTAGCCAAACAACTAATAAATTTTTAATAAAAATTATATTAAATTTCAAAATTCTTAGGCTTTCAGCAAATTAACAAAGAAATATTAAAAAAAAAAAAAAAACTAGTTCGTGTAGTCGCTAACGAATTGCTGATAGAGTCATTGGCAAACTGTTGATAGCGAGTGAGACATCACCGATGACACCATTAGGTAGATCGTCGGTCGACGGTGACGTCCTACTCAACATCGAAAGTTCACTTGCAACTCTATTAGCTGGTTATTGTATATTTAAAACTTGAAATTTTTAAATAATTTGAAAAATTATGTTTTAAAATATTTTAATAATGAAAAAAAGGCTTATTTAATATCATTTTGTCTTTTTTATAATTGCTATATCTCATCTCCTAAAACCAAAAATAATTTTAAAATTAAGTAAAGCAAACACTATATAAATTTTATTAAGAGTATAATATCACTAAAGTTGAATCATAAGTAATCATAGAACAAGTTAAAGCAATCCCAAATTAAAGTCTAAATCTATTAAACAAAGAATTCTAAAATTGATTTCATTTTTTTCCTTCATTTGAATGTGTCAAAATTGGCTAGTGTAGGGATATATTAAGATGAATTATTTATAAGAGAACTTAAAGTTCCGTTTGATTTACTATTCTGATATTTTTTAAAATAGTATTTTGATAAAAATAAAGTTAAGTTGAATTGGATTATTTTTATAATTATTAATGTTTTGAATTGAATAAAATAGAATTGAAATATTGAAATAAATTATTTTTTATTTTTTATTATTAAATATAATATAATAAAATTTTATGAGAGAACCTTATGAATTACGAAATAAACATTTGGTGTCACAAAATCTTCCTTGACAAGCAAACTGCTGAAGCCAACCTCAAGTGTAAAGCAGCTGCTGAGGTGGATATTCATCATCATACACGTGCCAATATCCCACACATCCAAACCAAAAACTAGAATCAACAGCGACCATTGGATCTTCACCGGCCATTCCCTGTATAAAACCAAATCGCATGCCCATCTTTGACTCTCTTTTCAACCTTTCTCGCTCTCTTCTTCTGAAACTCAGAAGAGAGAGAAAGAAGTAGAAGAAGACGAGCTTTGGAAAGAGAAAGGATCTTCACCTTCTTGTTCCATATACAGGTGGGTATCTGAATATTCTTTCAAAATTCTCCCCTTATGTTTTGTTCTGAGCTAGTTTTTGTCCATGTGTTCTTGAATTTTCTCGAATTCTTTTGAGGGTTTTGAATTATGGCGTAATTAATTGAGTTAAAGCTTGAGTTTTTGTTTACGTGTTCTTGAATTGCTTTGTGGATTTTGAATTGTTTGGATGGGTTAAAGTCGAGTGTTTTAGTGATTTGTAATTAGTTGTATGTGAATATTCTTGTAAATTCTTTCTTTTTGTTTTGTTCTGAGCTAGGGTTTGTTATGTTTAGTTGAATTTCTTTTGTGGGTTTTGAATTGTGAATTGCTTTCTTGCGTTGAATTTGGGTTTAAGGTGATTTGTGATATGGGTTTGTGAATTTGTGATCCTTTTTCAAAGATCATGTGATTAATTAACGCATTTTATTTGGCAATTTTGTGTAGTATTTATTTGTTCAGGAGATTAACAAATGTTTTGACCTTCTTAGGAGTTTATGTACGGTGATCTCTGCTAATTACAGTGTTTGAGTTCATGATTTGCTTGACTAGGCGGTGGATTTTGTGGTCATGCTAGGGTTTCATCGTGGTCTCTGATTATACTTACTGGAACCAGGTGGAAATAGTGAATGATATAGGCTATTATAGTGCGTTCAGGACTGCTTTGGAAACTATCAGAAGTGACTTTGATTATGTCAAAAGTGTTTTTGTGTACGTGTTCTGGTCTACTGCTGAAATGATACAAGTGCTTTTTGGAATCACACAATTGATATTTCCTTTTCGAAAAATAACATTTTGGTATAAGAAATAAACTCTTTTGAAGTGTTGTTTAGAAAAGAAATTGATGTGTGCCTTTGGGGAAAGCATGTTTACTTGTTTTTCATATGTTAAAGTTTTGTGTATGTTATTAATAGAGCTACCATCTTCTCATGCCAAATTGCTAATCTGAATTACTTATCTAGATGGTAATTATGATTTGTATACATATCTCCTTCCCTTATCACTTTTTAGTACATTTTCATAGCATCTTTCTATATTTTCTATCTATATTTTTGTATGAAATTGTTGAATTCATGTCTGTTAGTCTTATGACTTGTATGTAAACAGGGAGCTATCTCTGCTCTGTATTTCAAATTGAATTTGAAGTATTCTTCTCAAATCTAGATCCAATGCCTGCCTTAAAAATGAAGGTTAAATCCAGCACTTCTGTAAAAGAAGTAAGTTGTCTCTATGTTGCTCAGAAGTCGAGTAAAATATCCAAGACTTCAGGTTCTCTAGTCCGATTGCTTCATGAAACGGCAGAATTGGATACATCAATTCAAAATTGTGAAAATGGTAAGCCTTTCAAACTTTATGTATGCGAGTGAAAAACTAAAATAAGATAAAATAAATCTCTTATTGCTAAACCACTTAGGTTAGTCTGTCCTAGTTTCAGGTTATTATGGAAGATTCTGATAGAGTCAAGTGTGGCTCTGGTTGGTTAGACACCGTTAATGAGACTTATCACCATATGATTGAATATGCTTGACACAGGTTCTAGCAAAGTTGAATTCTCTGTCATGGAAGATGGAAGTAATAAAGTTATTCCGAAAATGTATCATGATGAAGAATATCCTTGCCAAAAACGTTTTTCATGTGCTGAAGATCCTATTTCCCTTAAAAGAATGGTTAGTTATCATCAACACCTACGTGCATGTAATAATAGTGCTACAAAATTTTGTAATTTACTGCCATGCATTCTTGCTTATGTCTTCTCAGTATGTCATAGTTTTACTTTTTGCGATACTATGTTGTATTTTCTTTAACATTGGCTGAATCATGTAGGTGTCAGCTTCAATTAATAATTGGAGACCAAAAAGAAAATTTTTAATTTTTGCATCTGGAACTGAGATTGCAAGTTATGCTCTTTATGTTTTCACCAAAATGCCTTTTTTCTTTCATCTTCCTCTACTTTTAAAATTGCTAGTTTAAGATATAAGAAATGTGATTTAGTAACGAGACTTTGTTGCTCTGTTTTTTTTTTTTACTAATTTTAGTTATTATTTTAATGACTTTACCATTAACCTGCCTTAGTGTCATCCAGATAGTGATCATGTTGGCAGTATAAGTCCTAAGCTTTGGCAGAAGCTCCTCTTCCATCATTACCTGATGATTATGTTTTTTTCTTAAAAGCTTTGTCTAATTTTACTTATTTATTCAGCTAAAGCAGTTGCGACTATAATCCTTTGGTTATTTTCTTCTCTTTAATTGGTTTTTTCAATGGCAGGATTTTCCACTTTTCACATGTTCTATAAATTCGGAAGCAATGTTCTCTCCTCTTATCAATGGCAGTGGCATTCATCTCAAATCAAGTGCTCAGGATAATGAAGGTAACAGCTAGGAGTCATGTTGCCAAATGCCTTACTCATGCATTTTAAATTTGGCTGGTAGCACTGTCATCTGATTTAGAGAACTCTTTTCCATTTAGATATGTAGCCCTCTTGTGCTTTGGTGAACTAGTGGAAAGTTGTGCATGTTATTTTTAGTTGATACATGATTGATTGCTTTTTCCCTGACATTATTATGCTTTTATCTCATACTGTGCTTAGGATGTGAAGATGGTACTACTGTTCCAGAAATGACAGCTGGTGACTATGATAGTTGGAGTAGTTTGTCATCCAGTTGTCAAACTTCTAATGCTTCAGATTCCCATATCTCTGACATGAGTGTTCCTGTATCCATTGAAGGGATTGGTGAATTTGATGATATTCTAACTGATTACCTATTGACTGAGCCAGATTATGCTGGGCAAAATCTGATGCTTGATATGACGGAGGAATGTATGAATTTGCCTGCCCTTGAGGAGGAACCAGTAGAGAAAAAGAATATTCATTTTCATGGATCCTGTGAAGAGCTTTCAGAGCCCTCCGAATATTCATGGTTCCATCCAGTGAGCCAGCAGATAAGACCCAATGATCATGAACTTGATGTGAACTCTAACTCTGTCGATTTAAATGAAGCAGATTTTGATCCACAATTGTTCATTAGAAATTTTCTGGACTTCTCCGACATGGAAGCTGACCTTTTGCCAGTATTGGTGCCCAAGGAGACCAGCAAAAGGAAGCATGTAACCTTAGTTCTTGATCTGGATGGTAAGAGAATTGCTTTTTTGGTTTTTCATATTAATGCTATGTACATTTTAGTCATGATTTATGTTATTTAAATTTGATTTTATGATTTAAGTTATCAGCAAAGGAGCTTGTTGACATCCTTTTGATGCCAGCAAAGGGAATTGAGTTAATCCCCTTTGTTACTTTATGACTTGGTCAAATTTATAATTTTGCAGAACTGTTTGAAACCTCAAGCTGACTAAAATGCGCAACTGCATAAGAATTTTGTATCCAACTGTTTATCTTGTATTGTGCATTGTCAAATGAAGTTGATTTGGGATAATATTTACTGTTTTTTTTAATTATTATTATGTTTTTTTTTTTTGTTTTTTTTGCCTTGATAAGGTCCCGCTGTATCCCTTGTATGTTCAAAATGGTAGAAAAATTCTTAATTTAATTATATACAACTGATGCGCAAGTATCTGGATGGCATTTCCATCTTAATAAATATTGGTATCAATGCATGAAGCTGGATTTCAATATGTTTCTTTCTGCATTTAGCTAAATGTTGTTCATTTTAACAATTCATAATCAACTGCTACTGATGTTTGTGTTAACTGCAAAAACTTATACAGAAACACTTGTCCACTCCACCATGGAGCCCTGTGATAGTGCAGACTTCACCTTTCAAATTTCCTTTGACATGAAAGACCACACTGTATATGTAAGACAAAGACCCTTCCTCCGGACATTTTTGGAGAGAGTAGCTGAGATGTTTGAAGTCGTCATTTTTACAGCCAGCCAAAGCATTTATGCTGAGCAGCTGCTGGATCTACTAGATCCTGACAAAAAGTATATTGCTCGACGTCTTTTTAGAGAATCATGCATATTTTCTGATGGTAGCTACACCAAGGATCTGACAGTTGTAGGAGTTGACCTGTCAAAAATAGCTATAATTGACAATTCCCCACAGGTATCAGTCTCTCTCTCTCTCTCTCTCTCTCTAGCTTTTGTTTTTGTACTCTTCTATTTCATTTCAAGTTACTGGACCAACTTTTTTATGATAAAAAAACCTGGAAAAAAGTTGGTTTTCATTTTAATTATTCTTATTTTACCAATGAATGGAAACTACTACATCTCAATCTTTAAATCTAGCTAGCTAAAATTTCTCAAGTGATAATTATTTTTTTCAATTTCAGGTTTTTCGTTTGCAAGTAAACAACGGTATTCCTATAGAAAGTTGGTTCGACGATCCATCAGACACTGCTCTAGTTTCATTAATTCCCTTTTTAGAGACTTTGGCCAATGTGGATGATGTTCGTCCCATCATAGCAAAAAAAATTGGTATGAAGGAATAGCTTTTTCCATTCGATCCTCCAATAACTGAAAACAGGGACCATTGATCTTCCATCTCTGTGGAAATGACCACAAACTTGGATTTTCCCATTCATGTGGTGAATTTTTCCCGCTGCCAGAGCCAAAGTTGTTAATTATAGTAACTGTACAGCTAGTGTTGCAGATTCAGTTAAAATAGCTCTTCCACATCGTAGTTGTTTCTTCATAGATAAATATAAAGTCAAAAGGTATAGTTACTGTTAGAGCAGAGAGTGTATTTCTTTTCGAAAGACGGATTATGTGCGGTCAAGTTAGAATATTTGTAAATATTCAATTTTACAGTGAAGTAAAATCATTTTGTGTTTTCTTTTACATCAGTAGGTTCTTTTGTTCTTGAAAGCATTATCGTATTCATGGAAATGCAGAAATTTTCAGATACTTATAGTCTCCGATGTAAACAATATTTGGTAAATAATTGAAGCCTTGGGAAGTATAAATCTTCTAAATCAAAGGATTTTCCATGCCCTTTTGTTGTTCATTTCATATGATGAAGTCAGCTGTTTGTTTTATTTCTTTGCAAAGATTGAACTATATGAAGGTTGTCCCTTTTGTTGATGGGTTTATTTTGTTTAATATAAAACGTATCTATTATAAAATAATATAAATATCTTTTTCTGGAAGTTTTTGATATTTTTAAGGGTTTTTTTTTTTTTTTTTTCAAATAATTATAACTTTCTAATAATATGGTTATGCTTCATATTAAATGATTTCACATAGGTAACTAAAATAAATAGCAGATGTCACGAGAATCCACCGTCAAGGCAATCAAATTGTAATATAGAGATTCACTAGAAGATAAAAATAAAATAATAGATAAGAGATTTTATAGAAGATAAGATGATACAATATAATCATGCAATATAAAGTTAACTGTAAGATTCTTTATAGATAAGAATCTGCGAAAGAGATTCCCTGTAAATAAGAATCACAATTACGATAAATCAAAGATAAATCAAAAGGGGCGTTTGGATCATATAATGCTTTATTATAGAGGATATTATACTAATAGAAAGATTGATCACCTTGAAGATTATTGAAAATGTTTAGAAAATATGTTTGGTTGATTGGAATAAATTGGTAAATAATATGTTTGGCTAAGATGACAAATAGATAGTTATAACTTATGTTATATATATTATTAAATTACCCTCTTTTTAAATATTAATATAATATTATTTTTTGAATCATCCTTTTAAACCCCTTCCCCCCAATTTGAAATTTTGCTAAAACACCCCAGCTATATAAAACTTTAATTTGTAGCAAAACCACCTCCATCCACCCCAAGCCACTATCAGCAACCAACTCTGGTCGTTTCTTTGGCGTTTCATGGTCAAAGATGTTGCCATGAAATGGCCCTAGATCTGGCCCTGAAAAGGCCAGTTCTTTGGTCGTGAAACGACATAAAAACTGTTAAATTTGGTCGTTTTTTGGACCAGATCTCGTCGATCGTGCATCATTACGGCGATTGACACCAGCGGCCAACGGTGGTGAGTAACGGCCGACAGTGGTCTTGGATGGCTGAGAGTATTTTGTTAACTTTTAAACTTTTTTGTGGCTGAGGTGTTTTAGTTCATTTCTCAAATGTAAGGGGGTCGACTAATTATAATTTGATAGACATTTGAAGGCAATTGTGTCCGAAATGGTATTTAATTAAGGGTAAAATAGGTATAAAAATTAAATTACCTCGATAATATTTTAATCCCAAGGTGGGGGAGGGTATCGGATTACCCCTCACATTGCTAATAGTAAACATTATTTATAATAAAAGATTTTCATAATATTTTATTAAATTACTAACTTTTTAATTATATAAACTTAGGAAGATATAAACCAAACATAGGGACGAAGCAAGGAAAGGACGTTTAGGGCAATTTTCCCCATTGGAGGGAACCATTGTACCAAATACTTGCCCAATACAATTATAATTTTCCTTATTGTGATAAAACATATAAATCAAATTATACTAACATAAGGAAATCCATAAAAAATCCTAATTTTGTTAAGGTAGATTTAATTAAAGAAATCTAAGTAGAATATGATTCAATAGGTAATAAAAAGATTTTTCCTATATCGAAACCTTAATCTTTTAAGTTTGTATAAATTGTGTTTAATAATTAATTTATAAATTAAATTTTCATTTAGTTTGCTTTTTACTTAATTATTGGATTTTGTAATTAAAAAAAAAAGAATAATCATTATCAAAGTAACCCCTATCTCATAAAATATCCGAAAAATCAATAATTATAAAAAAAAAAAAAAATTAGAAAGATACTCGGGTAGTAAATAAAATTTTGAATATTTCTTTTTAAATTAACCTTTTTCTTTTCCCTTTTGTCAACAAAAAAAAAATAATAATAATAAATTTCACAGTCCTAATTAGGATTTTATTTAACCTATTTCCATCTCATTCTTTGTCTCTTTCATATTTTGAGCATCAAAGAACTGCTAGATGCAAATATAATAAAAATCTCTAAGTATTTTTAATATATATATATATAGACACTAAATGACAAATTGGGGACTGATGAATGATAAATTATAATGGTGAATTGTAGTAGAAATTGGAATAATACAGAAAATCTTCTTTCTTACGAGATAAGTTTAAAAGAAATTTTTAGTTTATAAAAATACAATTACCTTGTATATAATTAAACTAAGGAAAGATTGAATACTATAGTAGAACCTCTCTATAATTATAATATTGGGACCAATTAAATTTATTACTAGGAGGATGTTATAATTTAATAGAGGTTGAGCTACAAGAACTATTGTTTTGATTAAAAAATTATTGTTTTTATTTATTATTTTATACTCATGTTTTAGTAGTATTAAGATTTCAATTCATTGTTTTAGTAACATTAGGATAGTACGAAAATAGATATCAAAGAGTCATTGCAAAATTATGTGATCAGATTCGACAACTTCACTACACTAATCAAATGGATATTAATGTCTTCCTCAATTATCCAAATGATCGAGCAACAAGTCATGTATGTTTTAATTACTAAAGAAAAAATCATTACTGAAATTAAACAAGAAGATGAAGGAGATAATCCTGAGGATGATAGTACGAAAATACTAAAAATTTCGTGCTAAGAAGCTCTAAACATGCTTGAGAGCTAGAAATATTTTGGTATCAACAAGAAGGTGTCCATGTTGGTGACTTATTATATACCCGCAAGATAAAAGATGTGATAACAACTCTAAAGCATAAATTATTATCCCAAACAACTTTAGATAAATAATTTATTTCATCTTAAACCTTTAATGTAACATAGCATCTATTTTTAACAATATACATATAATTATTACTATGTAAAGGTAAGTTTCTTAAGACAGGATCTAGAAAAATTATAACTTCTTACAATGCGAAATTTATTCTTATTTATAGCTACCCCAAGGTGAGACCAAAATTTTTTATGAATACATAGAGGTTATTCTTATATAGAGTATTATTATAGAGAGATTCTACTGTATAAGTTAATTTACCATAATCAATTGGATTAGTTTGGATGAGAGCCAAGTGGCTTGCAAAATAAAGAAGTGACTAAGTTTGAACTATTCTCTACTTGGTGGAGGACCTACTTAGCTTGAAAAATATTAATTACTTTATACATACACTTTAATATAAAAACGTGTTGAGTTCAATTTAAATCTATTGAATATCATACAATAAATATTAACAATTTAAATATTTATTCATTTAAATAAAATTATACGACTATTATGGTCTAACTTTTCTCCACTAATATAAATCATTGGCTACATCCTTAGTGGAAATGTCCATAATATAATATCCTTATACATGAAGATAATCAGTTCGATCATTTTGGTCGGATTCTATTGTGGATTTCTCACCACATTCTCCATAGGGCCCTCTTATCTCTTCATTCTCCGAGCTTAGGTTATGGAAGAAGAAGAAGAAGAAGAAGAGGAAGAAACCGAGAAGAAGGTCAACTGGTTTAATTGCTAGACAATTCATGATATTCATACCAATCTATTATGCACCGCTGCATCTAATATTGGGTAGACCTCATACAAATCTTTTGTTTCGTTTCTTCTAGAACAATCACAAACACTTTTTTTATTATGGATCTATTATCATAAATTTAATGTGTTTAAGGTTTAGGATTTAGGATTTAGATTATTAATAAGGTCTATTATATACATATTTAATTACATAATCCAATAATTAAGTAAAAAGCAAACTAAATGAAATTTTATTTTACAAATTAATTATAAAACACAATTTATACAAACTTAAAAGATTGAGTTTTTGATATAGGAAGAATATTTATTAGCTTATGAATCATATTCTACTTAGATTTCTTTACTTAAATCTACCTTTAGAAAATTAGGATTTTTTTTTTATGGATTTCCTTATGTTAGTATGATTTAATTTATTTGGTTTATCACATATTAGGAAAATTATAATTGTATTGGACAAAAAATATTATCAGTATTCTACTTAGATTTCTTTACTTAAATCTACCTTTAGAAAATTAGGATTTTTTTTTTATGGATTTCCTTATGTTAGTATGATTTAATTTATTTGGTTTATATATTTTTTTTTTTATTTCGCTCACTTGAAATCCTAGCTCCGCCATTGAAAGGTGTTGGTCATCTTTTTGGAATTTAAATTCTATTAAGAAATGACAACAGAAAATAAATAATTTCACAACAAATAAATAAAACTCTCGTAATTTTGGCTTGGTATGGGCTTCGGCAGAGGTGATGGGTCTGTTATTGTATTCCTTTCTTCTATTCCGACCAAGTATTTTGGGTAGTTGGTATCGTATGAAGGACTCCTTCAAGAAAAGTCCCGATGTAGCCTTGCATAGCTAGTATCAATCGGAATAAGACCAGGGCAATTATTTGGTGAAATGATTAGGTGGGGGAGCCAAGAGTCCAATCAGTCTGTGAAATTTAAGATTTTTGGAAATATCCAAGAGATAAGAGAATGTGTCACGTAAAATAGTTTTTTTTTTTTTTTAAACCTTGAAACCATGCATGATAAAATCCGTTTTGCATGTCATGTAGCACCATAACCACTCATGAAATAATGCAACTATCACCATATAAGAATTTCGGATACCATAGAACATCAAACCATATCAAACTCATACCAATTATTGTAGGCACCGCCGCTACACTAGATTTCTGAATGCCATGTGTTATGCCTAAAAAAAAATACAAAGGCTGACGTAAGGTCCAGTCAGCATGCAAGAGTCATATCATAGGAACGCCCACAGCCTGCTTCTGTCAGAATAGTGGGCACGCGCCAGGCCAGCCAAGAGCTGTGATGATCCCAC